GCCATTAATTTGACAATTAAACTGTTAATTTTTGACAGGACACTTGATATTTGTTTCGGATTGTTAATAATTTGGTTAATTTTTAACAGGATACTTAGTATTTGTTTCAAAATACTATTAATTTAACAATAATTTTACAATTTAACTGTCAATTTTTGACAGAATACTTAATTTAATATTTGTTTTGAGATTTCAGCGTCTAGATATTACAAAAACAGGTAAAGGGGGCACAAAAATTGTACAAGTTGCTTTTTTTTCATATCTAGTGAGCTAAAACCAACTGAAATTGTGAAAATTCGTATTTTAAAAGAAAATAAATCTCAAATCCACCATTTGTAAAGCATCTCCCTAAACATTCAGCAAATATTTTTCTTCTCTTCGAGCTAATCTCAAAGGTGGAAGCAATTTATTTCCCCCTTGTCAAGCTTCCAAACCGTTCAATCTTCATTGACAGTTCCAAAGATCGAACTTAATTTCGACTTAAAACTACAAATATTTGAGATACAATCTACAACATTGACTATTTCATTTGTGCTGTCAACATTTAACCCACTACACTTAGTATTCGTGTCGAATTGCTCGAAATTCAGTGGCTAGATTACAATAATTAGACAATTTAACGGTGAATTTTTGATAGAATACTTAAAATTCGTTTCAAATTGCCAATAATTCGACAATTTAACTGTTAACAATCTAGTTGTTAATTTTTGACAGGATACTTAATATTTGTTTCGAATTGTTATAATAATTTGACAGGATCTTTAGTATTCGTTTCCAATTATTAATAATTTTATAATCTAGCTTTTAATTTTAGACAGGACACTTAATATTCGTTTCGAATTACTAATAATTTGAAAATTCAGCTGTTTATTTTTAACAGAACACTTAATATTTGTTTTGAATTAACAATCTAGCCGTTAATTTTAAACAAGACACTTAAAATTTGTTTTGAGTTGCCAATAATTCGACAATTTAACTGTTAATTTTTGACATAACATTTAATATTACTTTCGAACTGTAATTTGACAATTTAACTGTTTATTTTTAACAGAACACTTAAAATTTGTTTCGGTTTGTCAATACTTTGACAATTTAACTGTTATTTTTTTGACAAGATACTTAATATTTGTTTCGAATTACTAATAATTTGACAATCTAACTGTTAATTGTTTACAGAACATTTAATATTTATTTCGAGTAGCCAATAATTTGACAATTTAACTGTTTATTTTGACATAACACTTAATATTCTTTTCAACTTGCAAATAATTTGACACTTTTAGTGTTAATTTTTGACAGGATACTTAGTATTTGTCTCGATTTACCAATAATTTCACAATAATTTGACAATCTAGCCCTTAATTTTAGACAGGACACTTAATATTCTTTTCGAACTGCCAATAATTCGGTAATTTAACTGTTTATTTTTAACAGAACACTTTTAATATTTGTTTCGGATTTAACGATTTAAATGTTAATTTTTGACAGAATATTTAGTATTTGTTTCGATTTGCTATAAATTTAACAATAATTTGACAATGTAACTGTCAGTTTTTAACAGGATACTTTGTATTTGTTTCGAATTACCAATAATTTGACAATTGAACTATTAATTTTTGACAGTATACTTAGTATTTGTTTCGAGTTGTCAACAATTTCATACTTTAACTGTCAATTATTGACAGGATACTTAATATTCGTTTCTAATTGTCAATAATTCGATAATTTAACTGTTTAGTTTTAACAGAACACTTAATATTTGTTTCGGATTGTCAATAATTACACAATTTAACTGTAAATTTTTGACAGGATACTTAGTATATGTTTCAATTTGCTATAAGTTTAACACTACTTTGACTGTCAGTTTTTTAGTTTTTGTTTTGAATTGTCAATAATTCGACAATTTAACTGTTAATTTTTGACAGGATACTTAGTATTTGTTTCGATTTGCTATAAATTTAACAATAATTTGACAATTTAACTGTTAGTTTCTAACAGGATACTTTGTATTTATTTCAAATTGCCAATAATTTGACAATTTAACTGTATATTTTTGACAAAACACTTAACATTTGTTTTGAACTGTCAATAATTTGATAATTTAACTGTTTATTTTTAACAGAACACTTAAAATTTGTTTTGGTTTGTCAATAATTTGACAATTTAACTGTTAATTTTTGACAGGATTCTTAGTATTTGTTTCTATTTGCTATAAATTTAACAATAATTTGACAATGTAACTGTTAGTTTCTAACAAGATACTTAGTATTTGTTTCAAATTGCCAATAGTTTAACAATTTAACCGTTAATTTTTAACAGAACACTATTTCTTTCGAACTGTCAATAATTTGGCAATTTAACTGTTAATTTTTGACAGGATACTTATTATTTGTTTCTGATTGCTATAAATTTAACAGAATGTGACAATCTAGCTGTTGATTTTTGACAGGACACTTAATATTTATTTCGAACTGTCAATAATTTGACAAATTAACTGTTAACTCCTGACAGAACACTTAATATTTGTTTCGAATTGTCAGTAATTTGACAATTTATCTATCATTTTCGATACGATTTTGAGTGAAATAATAGCACCAGTGGCCCGTGCATGATTCGGCTGTATTTCCTGGTGTAGTTTACCTAGAAGTGGGGTCCCCCTGTACAATCGATATCTCGCCAAAGTTGGGGTGTGCAACTGTAAAATCCTCCCTTTCCGTGTTTGCATGGGACATAATCTGGCGATATCGTTATCAGGTGTTGTGTCAGTGTTAGTGCTGACTCAAATCCTTGATGGGATTTTTTTTTGATAATAATTTTGAGGTTATGTTTTTTTTTGCAGAATCGTTGTCAGCAGTACCAAAATACCGTGACTCGTTTAAATAACGAAATAGCAACTTTACGATCGCAGTTGGCTGCACAAGTCGGAAGTGAGAGTAATCCGGAAGAGATTCTTCAAGCACATGCGGCCGCCTTGCATCGACATGCTGAAGAGTCAAGGAAGCAGTACGAAAGGTGTTTGGATGATGTTGCGAATCAGGTGGTCAAAGCCCTACTAGCGCAAAAGGTAACACTCGCTGCGCCACCAAGCCCCCGGTAGTTTCTCTGCTGAAAAAAAAATTTTTTTTCTGGTTTCTGAAACGTCTTATACACTTTTTTGGGTATTTTGGACCTCCAGAAGTGCTTCAGTTTTTCGATTTTTGACAAAATTTAGGCGGTTTTCGGTTTTTGGCTAGTAACTCTGGAGTTATTAGTGCTAGCCCCTTATGTTTGGCACTATTGGAAAGCAAATTTAATTTTCTAGCATATACAAAAAAAACAGTGTTTTATGATAAACAGTTATCGAGAAAATAGCAGATGTAACGAAAACAATCAAAATCCATACTCGCTTATTACTTGTGAACTATTGCGAATTTTGCAATTTTCTCGATGCCATTCGATTTCCAGGAATATTTTAATTTACTTTAGAACAATTTTTGATTTTTGACAAAATTTTGCTCGATATTTTTTCTACATTTTGATTTGTTTTATTTTCTATAATTAACTTCGACTCTACAAAGCATAATTTCAGCCGCCATTTTGTTTAATTTTGACATGATCTAAGTTTTATAGTACCTATGACGTTTTTTTTTGTTTTAAAACTCTTAATACTTATCTATTCTCAAGATTGATTATTTTTTTTTT